AGGTGGAGTGCCTTGTTCTTCCCTGCTGAGGCTGTGCCTGTGGCAGTGAATGACGAGTGACAGCCTGTTGGATTGAGCTCATGGTTCTGGCTAAATTGTTCATTATGAGACTGGGAGACCTTGGAGGACAGGGTTGCCATGTTCCTCATGACTTCACAGATATTCTTAATAAAAGGGTGCTTTGCAACTAGTGCTTATGAATAAAGCAGGAACATACATATTATAGGATACTGAAATGAGATTGAGGAGAAAAACCAATCAAATAAGATAAGCAGTCCTTATCAGAAGCTGATTAGAAGAAATATCAGCAAGAATACACCTCCCACAAAGGAGAAAATGTGAACCAGACTGGATTTAGATAACAAGAAAGACCTAATGCCAGTTTTTTAGGAGGCTAAAATTATGTTGGATTAGGAAAAAACGGTCCTTATTTGTGTTAGTTGAGGTGTATAAGGCCCTAGTTAAAGCTTAAAAATTATCTAATATATGGATTTAAAATACAGTAATAGTAACAGAAGAGGAAGAAAGTGATTGAAAGTCATTTGGAAAATGAACAAGGATATTCCTAACATGTTCAGCTTTTGTGTGTGCTTGAAACTTTTATAATAAGCCTATTTTTCCCACGATCAAAGTACACATTAAAAGCATGCTGTCTGAAACTGGGAGTCAGGAGACTGTGGGGAAATTTCAGCTTGCGGTAGCAGAGCCCCTCACTCACCAGCACAGGTGCCTTTCGCTGTCAATCAGCTCAGTATTCACAGGCCCAATGGGACCCAAGAAGACATCTTCTGTTGCTAGACAATCCCCGGTCAGGATGGTTGATGAGGGAGCAGACAGATGCAAGAGTCCCAGCTTTGATGCTAGTCCGGCATCTTCCTCTGGAAGAGCAGGACACTTTATTTCTAGACTGTCCAATGAGGTCTTCCCAGGAATTCATACCTGGCTTATGCTGGGCGTTTCTCAAGCCTAGCCTTCCTAGGTAAATCAGGAGTGTGTTTGTAGCCTCTGTCTCTGCTGCTGTGATCACTTTCCCACTTTTAACTATACCCATCCCACTATCCCGCTGGCCCACACTCTGCCTACCTCTCCTTCCCACTGGTATAATCTTGTACTTCCCACCATGTTGCCTGTATGAATGATGGAAGTGAAACTTGGCTCTACAGGTGGATAGACATGGATAGAGAGAGTTTCTCAGGCCTCAGAAACACAGAATAGAACATCAGACCCTGGGGCAGGGTCTGACACAGGATACAGATGCTGGAGGCAGGTAACACCAGCCCCTGAGGCTGGGAAAGAGGACAGATTTTTCTCTAAGCCCTTAGAACGCATGATCTTGCATGAGATGGACTCTTCCAGGTAGGAAATCTTCTATGGCCCACATGATGGTCAGTTGATGAAGAGGAAACTCTACTACAGTTGCCCCTCCCCAAGCCCCTTCAAATACCTGAGTTTGGTCTCTGCTCCTCTAGTGACCTGGGGCTGTTATCTCCTCCATCTGATCTCTCAGTAGGGGTCAGCTCACTTGTCTTCCTATAACAGACAGATGTTGAATCTCCCTTAGATGTAGGAGATATTTTTCACAAAAGTTCCCAAACACCCTACATTACTTTAGTTCTGTAGTTTCTTGTTTCCTTCACCTCTGTTTATCTACCATCCAATGACTCTACCTCTTGGCTCTAGAGCAGCTGCAAAGGCTCAGCCCTGGCTCTGGGTCTGCCAGTCCCAACACTTACCACAGTGTTGACATGAGCAGCTCAAGTCTCTTTTCCTCTAGGGCCTTCAGTTCCTCCTTCTCTGTGTCACTCAGAGAGGTCTGGTCTAGCCTGCAAGCACAAGGGCAACTTGGTTCGCTTGGGTTCCACATCACAGGATCTTCAAGCCCTCAGGCCCAGGACTCTGGACTCTGAGACCTGCTGGAGGCATCTGTCTCAGTCAGGTCCCTGGGAATCAGGCTCTGAGGAGGCTGACTAGGGAGTGCTGTTGGACTAATACCAGGTCAGAGGAAGGAAGGGCAGCAGAACTGCGCAGAAGGAGGCACTAGCTTCAAGGTGGACTCAGGGTAGGCACTGGTCAGCTCACAGGCAGTTCTGAACCCAGAATGACCCTTTGGACCTGTCCTGAGTTGGGAGGAGGGGCTGAGCTTTTTTGATCTATAGGGCTCAGGCGTCTAACAGGTCATCCAAGGAAAGAGACAGGACCATGGATGAGGTTGTTCATGGTGGTAGAATGTGAGCATGAGCAAACAGCATTCCCAGTGCTGGGAGGCATTTCTTAGTTCCTCAAGAGACTTTGGGTAGAACTTTAGAACATGTAGAACAACTGTGCAGAGTAGGGATCTGAGTTTTCTCCTCAGAACCTAGAAGATCCATTGAGAGGAGAGTCCTGGTTTCCATCTTACAGACTTCAGGAACTGTAGTTTCCATCGGATCTGGGATGGTTACAACCCTATCCGGGCCTGTCCTTCCCCATCCCTGAATGAGGACAGGTCATTCTTGCTTAGTTGCTGTGAGGCAGGACAAAGCATCTAAGAAACCTGCACCATGATCATCATTACTCTGTCATGGCAGCGCTCCCATAGGTAGGTAATAGAATCCTGAGAGTGTAAGTTTGCCTCTGTCCACAAGTCCCTCGGTTTTATGAGGACAGGAAGGAGGTAGAACCTTCTTCCACAAGATTTATAAAAGCTAACTTTCCTCAGAGGTAGCCAAAGTATCACAACTTAGTGTTGAGCTATGACCTGAATACAGACCTACTGGCAGAGACAGGTCTGGAGAGGAGAGGGGATACAGGAGAAGGTGATGGTTCTGAGGGCTTGGTAGGATGCAGGCTGGGGAGTAAAGTTCACCTGGTTGTTAAGGTCAGTGTCAGCTGCAGGAGAACCAGCGAGCAGACACGTTTTATTTTTGATGCCATTATTCTGTTCTGATTACTCTTTGAAGATGAAGAACTGGCCGAGGGAAGCCACTGGGCATGGAATTCTTTGACCCTCTCAGCTTAGGAAGGGATGGGGTTCTGAAAATGGAGACTCTGAGCACATGGCTGCCCTATCCAGGAGCTACTGGAAGCCTCAGCAAGTAGCTGTCTGTCATCTTGGATAAGAAAGACAATGGAAGAAACACTTGAGAGACAGTATGGGGAAGGAGGGCTTGTTGAAAGACTGGTATGAGTAAGATGGAGATTATCCTGGCTTGTATGCACCCCCAGGACTTGAGGCCAGCTCAGTGTCAGCTGCACATGGCATTGTCCAGCCTCTGGTGCTTAAGCTCCCCTTTTATTCTTCAGACCTGAAGCCCTCGGAGGTCCACTGATGTAATTCCAACCTGTGCCAACATTTAACTTTACAGTACCTGTATTTTGCTTCACAGTGCTCAAAACAGCTCATGAATATGTATTTTTGTGCTGATGGGTGGTCCACACTTCTTCCCTCCCCAGTGTGTCAGCCATAGGAGGGCAGGGCCCTCCAGTGGGTCTCTAGGGCCTGACCTACTGCTTGGCACACAAGAGCTATACCGTGAATGATGACATGAGCAAATGAATGAGTGCAGACGTGCTTGAGTGAGGAGAACTGGGAGTCTCTGAAATCATATTGCCTCAATGACATGATCTCTCTATCATATCTGACTCTGCACACTGTGCACTAAAATACATTTTATCTCATTGTAATCCATGAGGTGGAAGTGATACTCCCATAACATACAGGTGGAAACTGAATCTCAGAGAAGACAGTGATTTGCTCAAGTCACATGGTGTGAGAGTAAGTGGCCTAGCCATCAAGGACTGGCCTGACTGAGCATTTACTGTCCCTTTTCTTCACCTGTTAGGCTGCCAAGAACCTTCCCTCTGCCCTTCTTCTGCACCCGGCCTAAAAAGGGACCCCCATGGCCTTACCGTAGGAATGTGAGTTGGCAGGCAGGATGCTTGAAACCTTCACAGAGCAGCTTCACACCAAGGTCACCCAGGTCATTCTTTCGCAGGTCGAGTTCCCTCAGCCTGCAGCTGTTGCTAAGCACAGAGGCCAGGTCCTGGCAGCAGCTGGAGGTGAGGCCACATCTGGCCAGCCTGCAGCGGACACACACAAGCTCACTGTCCTGAGGGCTCTCTCATCTATGTAAGTGGAGTCTAATTCATGTTCTTTGTGGACTCTTTGTGGATCCTGAGGTGTCATTAAAGGATGAGAGACTTTCCTGGCTGAAGAGACCTGGGAAGTTTTCATTTCCTCATTTAGCCAAGTCATTAGGATACAGCAACCACTCTTACTTCTGATAAGATTCACAGGAATTTCATCCACCATCATCTCATCCTTGTGTTAATAATTTACTCAGTGTTCTTGCTATATATCTGGGTTTAATTGTTAACAACACTGGCCCTGCCAAGTACCTATAGGCAGAGAACAATGGCTCCATAGAGATGTGTGGAAGTTAAGGGAATCTCATATCCAGGAAAAATAAATCAGTGAGTTTCTAATATAATAACTAATGTTGAGCAGAATACTAAAGGTTTAGTGGAACTGAGGATCAATCCTGGCTCCCCACCACATGTGGAGATTTAGAGTCAGTACTGTCACAGGCCAGAGCCATGTCTGAACCGGGCGTGCTGGGCTGGCAGTGCCAGGCTCTCTGGCCTTCCTTCCTCAGCTGGGTGAATAACTCAGGTCTCCCACAGTGCAGCTGCAGAACCAGTGGAATCAAGGTGGGGGCCCCTAGCCTGCTTCTGGATCCAGAGGGCTGCATAGCTGTAGCATCATGGATCTGGAGGCCTCCACACCCATGATGTCCAGGGAACCTGAGCCTTCCCTGTTCATGGGCCAAGAGTCACAAAAGAGAATGAACTTGCAGGATCTAGACTAAGAAAAGACACTGGGCAAGTAGAACCAGGCTTAGAGGTTAGATCTAGCTTCAAGTTCTATTGATGCTGATACCTGGTATGTTTCCTTCTTGACTCAGTCTCATAGTCTGTAAATATAGTAAGGTTTCAATATTATATCTGTGATAGAATTCCCACTCTTCCTGGGATTGCTGAACCCCTGATATTAGGAGATCTCAGCTTGCTCTCCTACCCTTGTTCTCATCCCACACACCTCTTGTTCGGGAAGATTGATGGGAAGCCAGCAATGGCTCTGTGAAGATCAATATGTGGTATTGGGATAAAGGAGAGAAATGCAGGTAGAACCAGGGTTATGAATATCTGATCTTAGAAACCAAATTGACCCCCATGGAAACTGAAAGAGTGCGTGCACGCATGTGTGTGTCTGTGAATAATTGTGTGCAGTAGGAACAATAACTTTTTTGAGTTTTTTGAAGAACTATGCTACAATTTTTTAGTACTGTGTCCTGACAGTGATGCAGCAGGCACTGAGAGACACAGAGGGAATTTTAGAATATATTGAGTTTCGGGGCCCTTCCACAGGAGGATGTATCATTGGATCGAGAGTTGCAGATGGAGACCTGACAGGCAGCTGTAGAAGGTGCAGGAAGGAGGAGGGAGCTGACATTGGAGACAGGTTATGCTTCTTTAGTTTGGATACCAAAGACGTCTCCTGCTTTATCGTCCCCTTCTCTCCTTCATCAAATAATAACTGCCTGCCCATTAGCCCCACCTGTTTACTTTTTGGTTCCTCTGTACTTCCTTACACATCTGAAAGTCCAAGGAGATCTGTATGGAAGGTGTGTCCCAGAACTTGACATTTGAGAACACTTGTCCACAGACAATTAATATTTCGTCACTGTTCCCAGTGTTGAGATATCAACGGTACCCCCAGAAAGTCAACATCCAGGCAACATCTGTTAGCATAGCTCTTTGATTACTATCTTTAGCAAACTCTGGAAAGCTTTTTCTTTAGATGGTGATAGGGCTTGAACCCAGGGCCTGTCCACTGTCCCTCAGCTTTTTTGCTCACCACTTGGAAACACAGTGCCACATCTGATTTTGTGGTGGTTAATTGGAGATTCATGTCTCATGGAAGTTCCTGACCTGACTGACTTTGAACCATGATCCTCAGGTCTCAGTCTCCTGAGCAGCTAGGATCATAGGCATGAGCCTATGTGCCTGGCTTCTAAAGATCTTTGTTCACCATAATAACTCTGGCATCTCTCCAAGTCTTGGTCAGAGTGGATCATGAATATTTGATGGCTACAGAAATCAAGCCAAGTTCTGTACTTGGCTTTTGCCTTTGATCTCTTGCCCATCTCTGTTTTGGGGAGAGCCCAGCCCAGCTCTGACTCACCTCAAGGTCTCCAGATGGCACTGGGGGTGTCTTAGGGTCTCACACAGACTCTGCACTGCAGAACAACTCAGTGGATTGCCACTTAAGTCCAATTCCTTCAGGCTTCCACTGACCTTGAGAGTGGAGAAGAGAACCTTCCACGAGGTATCAGTGAGTGGGGCCCACATGGACCTGAGGCAGAGAGAGGACCAGGAGAGGTGTATCATGGGTAGACAGGGTCTGAGCTGGGCATCCCTGTACAACAGTGCAGGTTTGTTCCCTGAGCACCAGGCCTCCATTGACAGAGCCATTTCCAGGACGGACTATCCTACATAACTGCCCTTTGTCCCCAACACCTGACCCCTCCTCTATGTGGCTGCTCATTCTATCTCTTAAGTTCTGCTTCAAGCTACATAATGGTACTCTTGTTTCTTTTCAGATATCTCCACTTCAGTAGCCCAGTAACTCTTGAACCAGTAGGTTTCAATAGGTCTCTAACCATTAAGCTTTCTCTCAAGCTGAATAGCTTGTATGGAGAGGGAGATGAGACTCTGAAGCCAGCAGGCTGCATGGTAGGCCTGGTTCTGTGACCATTTATTCATCTGTAAAGCCAAGGTAATAATAGTACCTGCTATGAAGAGGGTTTGTGAGGATTATGAAGTCTTTCTGAGTCCCCCAAAGGTCTACATTCTGTTGAACTTTTTAACAGCTTCAGAAATATAAACAGTGCATAGTCTTCAAAAACATTACAGTTGTCCAAACTTGACTGTAGCAAACGTTAAAACTATGTTATTCCAATTTAAGAACATGAAGTTAAGGGGGGGGACCAAGATGGCGACGGGACAGTAGGGAAACGCCACAGCTCTCTCCAAACAAAAAGAGAGTTCGAGTTCCAATGCTTAACTCCCCAAGAGACCGACAACAACAAAAAGACGAACACTCAGAGAAAAACCAGAGGTGGAAAATAACAAAAAAAGAAAGAGAGGAAAAGAAGAATTTCAGAACAGAGAAGAGAGAAGACCCCTCCCCCAACCTTTACTGGCCGTGCGGTAGTGCGCCAAGCCGCTGGCCAGCTGGCCCAGCGGGGGCTGCCAGGGGCTGCCGGAGCCCCCAGAGACACAGGGGGCCGATTGCAGATCACCAGGTACCGGTTCGCAGAACAGCGGATTGCCAGGAACAGAGAAACCTACCAGCCAGGATTCTCCAAGAGGATCCCACCCCCACCCCTCACTCTCCACGGGAGCGGAGAGGCTCCATCCCGCCAAAGCCGCCCGGCACCAGCAGTACGACAAAGGAACCTGTCAGCAGACCAACCGCCCGAACGCTATCGCAACGACCCGGCGGGGGCCGCCCAACCCAGCCCGCAACCACCCCAACTGAACTCGGATTGCAACAACTGACGACCTACACCACACAGAAACAACCAGCTCCAGGGTGAGTACTT